AAAAGATAAGGATATGCAAAAACACAGCAAGTGACAATCAAAGAGTTTGTGAGAAAATAGACTCAAACCTATGGAATAAAGAAACTAGAAAATACAGAAAATAAATCTTCAGGTAATATTTAGCAAATCTTTCCTTGGCTTGTTACCAGTATTAACGTGCTGAAGAAAACTCAAAATTACAGTTGTAAAATAGAATTAAAAGATCGCTTTCAGAAAAAGATATCCCTTAGTCTTTCTCAGCTTTCTTAACTCTTGGGTCCTAAATCCTCTTAAGTTTTTTAAACACTACCCACAGTCAGTAATTATGATATAAGCTTTTATAATTATTTCTTTATCTATGAAATGTAATAAGCCAATAATTTTCTTCATATAAATTTAACTTTAGAGTACTTATTTATATAAATGTAGATCTTCATGGAAAGGAATTAAGGTCATCTACTATTTATTACTTCTTTTTTTTGTTATTGCCCTTTCATATAAATGTAATACTATTTTATAGATATCATTATGTGTAATAAAATGGCTTAATTTTTCTTTTATATTTCAATTTAGAAAATTAGTGTTCCTCTTTTATAAGTGAGACAAATTAAAAAAAGAAGGAATTGAAAAGGAAACATAGAAATGTCATCAGAATTTAGAAATCCAATTCTAACTATTTTTCCAGCTACTTAAAATAACATTGCTTGCCTTTCCCATTATTTATAGGTCTTCCCAAATATAGTGTCTGGCCTTAAAAGTTGTAATACAAAATCTTCTGCCTGTAAACTAGTACAACTAATGAAATTTAAAAACCATGTAACATATATCATTTAGCAGTTTCATAAAATGTCAGTATGATGTTAACCAAGGGCAGAGCAAATGCAAGAAGAACTAATGTGTGTGACTTCTGAAAATCTCATCCTAGAAAACCAGAAACAAGAGACTATGATTCCTATCTAAATTTTACAAAAGTCATTTTGAAATGGGAAAAATATTTAGATGTTGTTCATCATACGTCTTGGATGTTTTGGTAAAATATTGTTGTTTTATCCTTTTAAATATCCTATGACATATATCCTATGACACATTCACTGACTAGGAGTAATGGGAGAGAAAGGGGTGACCATACAACTAATGTAAATTCACATATCTTGGCGTGTTCATGAGAGTGAATAATTCTGGCAAACGACTTAAGAAGCAGCGCGTGATGGTTAGAACATAGATTCTGTAGCCTGGGAGCATGGGTTCAAATCCTGATTCCCCTTCTAACTGTGAGAATTTATATATGTTGCAAATTATTTAACTTCTTGGTACCCCAGTTTCCTCTTGTTATAAGTGAGGATGATCACAATATCTACTTTATCAGATAGTTATAAAAATTAAATGGTCCAATAGTCTTTCCTGGAGAATTACATGAACAGAGGAGCCTGGCAGGCTATACAGTCCATGGGGTCACAAAGCGTCACACACTTTCACTTGGGCTTCTCTGGTGATTCAGACGGTAAAGCATTCACCTGTGATGCTGGAGACCCAGGTTCAATCCCTGGGTCAGGAAGATCCCCTGGAGAAGGGCATGGCAACCCACTCCAGTATTCTTGCCTGGAGAATTCCATGGACAGAGGAGCCTGACAGGCTACAGTCCATGGGTTTGCAAAGAGTCAGACACAACTGAGTAACACGCTTCAACAACACAACAACATAGTTCTTAAAATGATGCCTGGCAAAAAATAAGCACTATCTATGTTGATCACTGCCCCCCAAATATTTGGCAAAACAGTTTGTAAATTTTTTGCTTCTTAGTTTACTTTTTGAATTATTAATAGAATCTTTTGTATAACAAGTTTGTCTATTGTTGAGCACATCTGTAAAATAAGGCCAGAATATTCAGATGTAGGCATATCTTGTTTTTCTTTTAATTGCACTTTGCTTTATTGTGTTTTTTACAAATTAAAAGTTTTCAGCAACTGTTTGCTGAGCAAGTTTATCATCATCATTTTTCCAACAGTCTTTAATCACTTCCTGTCTCTGTGTCATACTTTGGTAATTTTCAAAATATTTCAAACATTTTATTATTATTGTATTTGTTACAGTGATCAATGATAAGTGGTCTTTGATGTTACTGTTACAAAAAGATAATGACTCACTGAAGGCTCAGATGATTAGAATTTTTAGTAATTTTTAGCAATAAATTAAGTTTAAATTAAGGTCTGTACATTTTTAAGACATAAAGCTATTGCACACTTACACTATAGTGTAAACATAACTTGTATATGCACTGGGAAACCAAAAAATTCCTGTGACTGACTTTATTGTAATATTCACTTTATCACAGTAGTCTAGGACCAAACCTGAACTACCTCTGTAGTATGCTTGTGTTCATTTGATAAATGAAGTTAGTGCTCGTCATAGAGATTTGTAAACTTTTTATTGTGGTAGGACAAGTTACTTTGAGGAAGTAATCTAAATTTCTAGCCTGGTTTCTAAGTTTTTAAAATGATGTACAGGGAAGACAATGAAACTTTTCCTAATGAAAATGATGAAGCTAGAAAATAGGATATATATGTATAGACATACCCCTTGTACTATCCGTATATATGTGTGTATACACCTACACAAACACCCACACACAGAGTTACTCTCCTGAGTACCGAGACACTGCAAATATGACCAGTCTGTGACTAGTGTGCATACTTGTTTGCTTGTTTGCTTTGTTGACCAGCGTGGACCCCCTTTTATTCCAGTGATAGTACACAAGCTCTGCATTTCAGGAATGTTGCTGTGCCCCACCACAATCCTCAGTGTTCATAGGTTTCAAGCAGAACCTCCTCCTAGTTCCAGGATGAGGCATTGGCTTGGGAGAAGCCAATCAAAGCACAAAGCATGGCATCTCCCTGGACAGAGTGATTGCTTCGGGATAAGCATGTGACCCAGCTGACGCTAATGAGATGCAATGAGATTTTCTCTGGGTCTTTGTCCCTATTGGATTTAATTCTGGGAGACTGGGAAGCCAGGGATGCTATAGCATCTTACTATAGCAAGGAATGAAACGCTGTCACCATGGAAGTTAGAGCCAAAACATATAGCATAACTAGATTCTGGTAACATCAATTGGGCTTCCAAAGCATTTTATGCCTATAGCTAGCCTTAGACAACAAACCTTGACAGTGAATTCCCATATTACCTTTCCTTTCTTTCTTTCATTTTTCTCTCATTCTTCTCTCCCTCCCCACTTTCCTCCCCCCATCCTTCCTCCTAATCATTTCTTCTATTTTTTTTTCTTTCTTTCTTTCTCTTACCTAAGCCATCTTGGGGCTTTCCTGGTGGTTAAGAGGGTAAAGCGTCTGTCTGCAATGCAGGAGACCTGGGTTCGATCCCTGGGTGGGGAAGATCCCCTGGAGAAGGAATGGCAACCCATTCCAGTACTCTTGCCTGGAAAATCCCATGGACTGAGAAGCCTGGTAGGCTACAGTCTATGGGATCGCAAAGAATCGGACACGACTGAGCGACTTCACTTTCTTTTTTATTTTTTGCTTCTATTACCATAAGAGACTTGCTAGAATGAATTACAAAATTATTTTTTTGGCAATATCTGCTTCCTGCCCATCTTAAACAGTTTTTCTAATGATACAAATGAACTTACCTGCGGAAGTAAAAGAAAAAGACTCACAGACTTAGAAAATATACTTTTGGTTGACAGCAGAAGGGATAGTTAAGGAGTTTGGGAAGGTCATGTACACAACACTATATTCAAAATGGATAACCAACCTATTGCATATGGAACTCTACTCAATGTTATGTGCCAGCTTGGATGGGAGGGAGGCTTGGGGGAGAGTGGATATGTGTGTGTGGGTGAATCCCTTTGCTGTGACCCTGAAACTATCACAACATTGTTGGATCAGCTATACCCCAATACAAAGTGAAAAGTTTAAAGTTTGAAAAAAGAAAATCACAGGTCTGACACTTTAAAAAAAATACCCTTTCTAATGAAAATGGTGATGCCAGAAAATATGCAAAAAATGTAAATGTGGTCAGTTGCTCAGTTGTGTCTGACTCTCTGAAACCCTATGGACTGCAGCCCACCAGGCTCCTCTGTCCGTGGAATTTTCCAGGCAAGAATACTGGAGTGGGTTGCCATTTTCTACCCCAGGGGATCTTCTAGACCCAGGGATTGGACCCTAGTCTCCTGTGTCTCCTACATTGGCAGGCGAGTTCTTTACCTTTAGCACTACAATTATGACTGTTTCTGATTATACTTGTTCCCTCTTACGGATTTTATTTAATTTTTATTTTAGGTTTACTTACATAAGCAGGTGTTTCGGTTTTTGTGTTGTTTACAATTGAATAAAGCTCACAGATTTTGAGTCTGAATCCTGACTGTGTGATTTGAGGTGACTTTTCCTAACCTCGATGTATTTCCTTTCTTAGATTTTCAAATAAGGATCATGAAAGTCTTTATCTGATGGAATTGTGGGGAGATGGAATGATACAGTATATGCAGACTCAGCCCAGTCAGTGACTGGCACATATTAACCCTCAAATCTTAACTATGTTATTAATATAATTACTGGAATTTAGTCTCCTTTTGGCCTTCAGGTTTTTCTGGTTGCTTTTCATCCACTTAAATTAGAGATACAATAAGATTGGTGTCCCATTAGTTTAATTTTATTTCTAGGGAAAGTTAGTTTAGATAGCTCTTTGTTGAACTAGCAAAGGCCTTTACTGGACTTCAGAAACTCTGGGGCTGAGGTTAATGTTAAATCCCATGTAGGTAAGACTTTCATTAATATAATTGCTGTTTTATAAGTTTTTATTTTTAACCCTTTTATTATTTACCTTCTTTTTACTTTGAATTATTTTTATCCATTCAGTGACTTTTGGCTTAGCAAATAAAAAGCATGAACAAAAGCACTGTTCATTAACAAAAGTAGTGATTGAAACCGGCTAAGTCTTAACGTTCTAAGAAAAGCCTTTAGAAGATCAGAGCTCCATTACTAAGAGCTTTGAGCTGCTTCAAACACGCTTCTGTGTGTACATTGAGGGTTTTCTCTTCACTGCTCCTCTGCCCTCTAGTGGTAGCTGTGATAATACCATTTTGTAGTCCCCACACAGGAAATGCCTGGTCTTACTTCAGTTACCAGAATCCTTTCACAGGAAGTTAGGTGTGGTCTTTGAAGGAGAATTAAAAAAAAAAAAAAAAATGAAAAAAAGAAAAAAAGCATGATGGAATTTTAGCTGCAGTCTTCTTGGTGCCAGCTTATCAATCCTAAACTCTGGGTGTAAAAGAGTCTGCAGGGGTAATGTTTTAATATTCTTATTATGCTTATTTTCTGTGATGCTTCTCTACCTTTACAGTAGAATCCTGGGGGAATCTGCAGAGGACCACTTTCATTTTGAAGCTGCTGGCTGCATGTTTTAGCATGTCTCTTCTATTAGAGCATCCAGGCATGGCAGTTTCCTCCCTGAAGTGTGCCGGGACCTTCTTCATGACTGTGCCTGTCTCTAGGCATAAGGGTCTCTGGGGATGGGTGAGGAAAATGAGGGATGTTTTAGAGGCACTGTGATTCTGAGAGGACAGTCTCCTAGCTGGTGGCTGAAAGGTCCTGGTCTACTTCAAAAAAATGTGGAAATGATGCAATAATTCTGTTATTTTAGATTTCCCTATTTGATCTGACATATGCTGCAGAAGTGACCTGGATATGAATGAATTTTACTCTTAGATAATGCACCTCATATAATTAAATGGTAATGTTCATTCCTGTAGGGTAAGGGTTAAAATGGACTGATATTTTACAAAGAAGGAAAATAGAGAAGTGATTGTAATAGGTGGCATTCAGGAGTCAAAATTTTGGTTATATTATTTCAGAAAGCATAGAAACTCTTGCCACTGATTCAGAGATAACGTTTGAAATGATTGGTGTGCTCACTTAAGTTAGATATGCTAGCCCATAGCCCAGTAAAATACGGTTAGAATACAGTAAAACCACATTTATGTTACCACAAAAACCAAAATAAATGGAGCTCATGTTAAAAATAAACTATCTTCAACTTATTATTTTTTCAAGTCCAAATCGGCTGTGTGGACTTTTAAGAAATGGGCACCATTTGAGAAAATGAGCTATCTCTGCAGCATTTCCTAAGGTACTGCAAATTTGTTAATTTCAGAAGCAATTACACTAGCTAGCAGCAGGTGCTCAACCAGGGGGTCCAAGCTCCAGACCTCTGACAGGGGTGACTTCCTGCCTGCTTTGGCAGGAGCCAGGTCCCTTCCTGTGTAGCTTCCGAGCAATTCCAAATACAACCGGGCATCCCCTGCTCCTTCCCGCTCCTTGCTTTCAAGCAGGATCTACCTAGGTTTCCACAGCCTGGCATTTCAGGATTTCCAGAGCTCTTTACCAGGTGCATTGATTTCCGAATCAGCTCTTTAAGGTGGAGAGTGGGGCAAAAGGAACATGGGGAAAAAAATGGAGCAAGATCTTCATACACCCCAGTTCTACAATTTTGAGTGATTATTCATCTCTTGTTATGGATCTCTGAAATTTTTTTTTTTTTCAGAAAGGATGCTGAAAAAGATGGCTGCCAAAATAATTCACACAAGTGAAGCAGCAAGCACAAACCAGTATCCTCCATTTCTGAGCTCCGAGTTGGATATTTTCACTTAAAACATTTTGGGAGTGGGAGATTAGATTACCTCATAGACACCTACTGAATGTGAAAGATAGATCTCTGTGCAAGCAGATGAATGCATGCAGGCGAATCCCCTGAATGCCAAGGCAGCTTCCTTAGTAAAATATCACAGATAGCTTCGTTTGTATGTATGTCACCTCAGTGTCATGTCATTGCCCTTTTATCCTAATGACCATTGCCTTTTTCCCTCTCTCTCTCTCTCTCCCTCTGTTGTTTCTGTAGCACTTTCTTATGCAAGGAGCCAAACAGTGATTAAAGGAGCAGGATGAAAAGATGGCACAGTCAGTGCTGGTACCGCCAGGACCTGACAGCTTCCGCTTCTTTACCAGGGAATCCCTTGCTGCTATTGAACAACGCATTGCAGAAGAGAAAGCCAAGAGACCCAAGCAAGAGCGCAAGGATGAGGATGATGAAAGTGGCCCAAAGCCAAACAGTGACTTGGAAGCGGGAAAATCCCTTCCATTTATTTATGGAGACATTCCTCCAGAGATGGTGTCAGAGCCGCTGGAGGATCTGGATCCCTATTATATCAATAAGAAAGTGAGTTCTTAGTCAAGTTGCCTTTATTTCCTCTGCTTCCTAATTGCTTCTGGGCTAGTGCCGCATGTTAGGTGAAGAATGTTGTGCCATCTCCCCTCTGTCTGAAGTATCACTATGGTAGTAATGGGCTTGACCATGCAGTGGCCCCATTGTCCTAGTCTTTGGGAAGCACTTATTTGAACCCACGGCCAGGACAGGCAGAGAGCTTAAGAGCATCTTGCAGTGGGGGAAATGAGGAAGGGCAAAAGTCTGCTCACCTTACAGTGTGGTGAAGCAGAAAGTAAAGACAAGGAATTTATTTTTTATGCATTAAAAACAGTATTTCCAGAAGTAGTATCCAAAGTCCTCTTTACAATATCTAGCTCTACATAAGGCACTTTGATCTTCAGCAGGTTTATTCCTTCACACCATAAATTTTGTCTATTCCATGCTTCCCTCAAGAAGAAATAAAAGCAGGTGACTTCTAAGCACCCCTTAAAAGCATTTGATCAAATAGCACCTCCAGAAAACACTGAAGTTCCTGTGAGAAGGCTTTTTATCAAACTGAAAAAAGTAATCAAAGCCTTATTCTTGAGCTCTTTGTGAATTATAAATACATTTTGAAAATACTGATATTAAAACTTGATGATGATGCTAAGTATTTCTATGATAATGACTGTACATTTTCTTTATGTTCTTTAAATCCTCATGTCTCTCACCAAATTAGGGAAGTTTATAGCATTCAGAAAGAGGAAACACATAGCATCATGTCATGTGTTGATAGTTAGTATATTATTATTTTATAAAATCATATTCCTAAAGAAATTGTATCACTTTTTTCTTAAATTGTTCTTAGTTTTAATATTGCATTTCTAAATTGTTCTATGTGTTTGTTTTCTTTTTCAGACATTTATAGTATTGAATAAAGGGAAAGCAATCTCTCGATTCAGTGCCACTCCTGCCCTGTACATTTTAACTCCCTTCAACCCTATTAGAAAATTAGCTATTAAGATTTTGGTACATTCATATCCTTTTTTCAAATAGTCACTTACATGATTTTGCTCTTTGACTAACTTATTGAGATGAGAATTTTTCAAAAATGTATGTGGTTGGCAACACTATATGCTCTTTCTTTTTTCCCTCTTTCTCAACAGTTTAGTGTTATTGCCAAATGGGATCATAGGTAAGTGAACCACTTTTCCCCATATTCTAAGTATTTCTTCTCTCCTTGACTCACTACTTATTTCTTTCTTCCCCTGCTCCCTTCTGAATTGCCTACTACATCCAAGACTTCTTCATTAACTTTGACAGTGTTACCAGGCTCTCCTTTTATAAGTCTTCAAATTTTACAAGGTTATGTAATGGGTAAACTCTGCGAACTAATTTTCCCTACTACTTTTACATTTGGAATATATCTGCATATTCTGAATTATACAATTTTATTTCTTTTTTATCTTAATTTTTACTACTTTCTGCTTTTCACTTTAGTATTTGAAAGCTTTGAGTTGCAAATATTTGTAATTGTGATATGACTGTGTATGCATTAGTCTTTCAATTATTTCTTCCAATTCTTTTCCCAAGTGTCATTTGCATTGATTTTCTATTTAATTTTTCTTTCATTTTTTGGTCACTTGTCCCTGTGTTTTATTCAACTCACAGGTCCTGCTGCAGTTCTCTCTTCCCACATGCATTCTCATTTCATTCTTTATTCTCCTTATGAAGTATCTACTTCCTAGAAATGGAATTGATGACACCTTGGTGGGAGATAGTGATTTGATCTAAGTTAAATAGAGTAGTTGTAAACGAGAAGTTTTCTTCCAGACTGGGGACAGTGGTTTGGCTGACAGCTAGGGCTGGAAAGACCAAGGAGGCAAAGCTTTGGAAGACGGAAGCAGTGTCAGTCAGGGTCATTGACAGAAGAACACAGAAGCCTTGGGATAAGGAACTGATACACGCCAGGAGCCAGAGGTAAGGAAGGGGAAACTGAAACTTAAGCAAAGTCTCAGATGGGACAACGTTAAATTTTGTTTCCTAATTAGAAAGAGTCATCGCCTTTGATTTACAACATGGTCAGTCCAGGGCCTGCTTCAAGGCTTACAGTGTAAAAGCTTACTTTCCCTAGCAGGCCTAGAAAATAATTCAATCTGATATGGTAGGGAATTAGATAAGGAATTCAGGAGATAGAATAAAATGGATACAGGGAACTCATCTCAATTCTGGGTGTTGGGCTGTGAATCATGCCCCCAGACTTGCCTGGCAATGTGGCAAATGACGTCTGTAGAAGCGCAGCATTCTGGAATTCAGTTTCCTTTTAACCTCTAGGTCATTCCTCTCCATTACCCCCCAGGTTTTGCATAGACATATTTTAATTTCATATTTATGTTTTAAGATTTAATAATTTTCTTATGAGTTTTTTTAAACAATAATGATTCCTTACTTCTGCTATTCAAATAAAAGAGACATTTTACAGGAATAAAAAATGTCTTTGAGTTGGCTTTAGGAATGAATAATAAAGTTGAGATTTAGATTTGAGTCTCATGAGCTATAAATTATGGTCCATTATGATGTTTGAGTAGTTAAAATCTGTGCTCTGAATAAATCTTTCCATAAATTATTCATTGTATCTAAAAATAATTATTCATCCCTATGTAATTGCAATTTATACACAAAGTCATGTCAAAAAATTCAGACTTAGCCCATTGCTCTGTTTATAGTAAATACCGGGAGAAAATGCGTTGAAGAAGTAAGTGACAAATGAATCAAGAAGATAAATTATTAGATGCAAAACAAGTGATAAGATGAAAGTTTTGAAGAGGTCAGAAAAATCTATTTTGCTTTCAATATGATTGAAGAAATAATATTAAGAAAGCTCAATATTAAAGAAAAAAGGCAGGATTGTTGTTTTAAAACTTTTGTGGGGACATAGCATATTTTTTTGAAAATTTCATGAAAGCTATATTATCATCGCCAATCCAAAATATTCTAGAAGGTTAGAAGACCCAGGAATCTTAATATAAAGCCTTCTGGGAAAAGAGACTTCCAGTGGAAGAGGATGAGAGTAGTTTTAGAAGTTCTGATCAGAGACTCTGGGTGTTGAAAACCAAGTTTATGGTGGAGTCTCTTTAGGAATCAAGATACGATTTGAATTTGAAGAATTTGAAAGTTAGCACTTACTTCCCAGAAGAAAGAAAACCTTCAAGGGGCACAGCTGTCAGGAGATCTGCAGTGGTGTAAGTTGAAATGTGAAGGCAGTCAGGTAAATCTAAGATTTGCTGAACTGAATGTTTGACTCTCCTAGAACCTTACAAATGGCGTGGAGCTACACATTTCTTCTAATGCAGAAAAAGTAGATTTTTTAAAAAGCTCTGATTGTCTGAATTAAACTATTCTATCTTAGCTATCTTACCTTGGAGTAGAGATATAAGAGAAGATAGACACATTCTTTGGTCTTTTGGTGATAATGCATATTTGACTGTGAAAGTGAAAGTGAAGTCGCTCAGTCGTGTCCGACTCTTTGCAACCCCATGGACTGTAGCCTACCAGGTTCCTCTGTCCATGGGGTTTTCCAGGCAAGAATACTGGAGTGGGTGGCGATTTCCTTCTCCAGGGGATCTTCCCGACCCAGGGATTGAACCTGGGTCTCCCGCATTGCAGGCAGATGCTTTACCATCAAACTTTGCTGTAAATAATACTCTACAGTTGGCAGGTAACTTTCTCAGTGACTTTGTCTTATTCCTCACAATGCCCATCCTAAGCTCAAATCCTGGTTTTCTAATTTTAAGTGCCTTTTGCTATAAGATAAAAATGCTTGAGGTTGCTATCTGCATTTTAGGCACAGTTAAGAGGGCATTGTGTATTTATTATCATTAGTTTATATTCCATAAAATGGTCATTCGCAGGAAAAAAAAATTGCATTTTCAACCTAGACTGGTATCTCTATTTCCAATGAAAACCTTGACTTATTTCTTTTTTTTTTTTAAAACCTTGACTTATTTCTTAAGGAGCTGTTATCTTCATTAGGCATTCTTGCATATCAAATTAGCTTTGTGTCTTGATTTTGGCAGAAAAATCTTACACTTACTCTATTTTTGCCAGAGTATATTTTGAAAACTGAAAATGCTTTTGATGTGCCTATTATCTTGTTTTGATAGTTAAATAAAATATGGTTATGTTTTCTAGATAGTAAACAAGTAAAAATTTATCCATATTCCTAAAATTTCCTATCAGAATTTTCAGTGTGTTACATGTCAATTTTTTATTTTAGCTTAATATGCACACTCTCCTTCACTTTGCATTTATTATTCATTTGTTCATTTGCAAATATTTACTAAGTACCTACTGTGTGGCAAATGTTCTTCTAGACACTGTGATGCAACATAGAACCTGCTAGTCCCTGCTCTCAAGTAGCTACATCCATGTGTATGTGTGTGTTTGAGAGGAGAGAGATAATACAAACAATTAAGCTAGTGTCAGCTAGTGATAAATGCTATTAACAAAAATAAAGCTGTATAAAAGAGAAGAGTGGCAAGGTACTATTTTATTTTATTTTATTTTATTTTTGCGAGGTACTATTTTAAATCATATGATCAGGGAAGTCCTCTCTGAAAAGATAGCATTTGAGTAAAGAGCCAAAGGAAGTGAGGAAGTGCAACGTGGAACTCTAAGGAGAAAGGCGAATAGCAAATACGAAGGCAAATGATGAAGGTGGAAGTGTACCTGTTGTGTTCGAGAATCAACCAGGAGCCTAGAGTGCCCAGAGGAGAGTGGGAAAGGCAGAGAGTAGAAGGGGGTGAGGTCATTGAGAGTGGAGGTCAGGGCTGACAGAGTAGATGGTTGATAAGACACCCAGTCTACCCTGAATGAGATGGAGAGAGAAGACTGGAGGGTTTTCAGCAGAAGAATGTCATCACCTGAGTCAGATTTGAAAAAGATCACTCTGGCCGCTGTGTAGGGAACAGATTGCTTCAGGGGAAAGGGTGGAAGTAAGAAAATAGATTGGGGGTTTACTGCCTTTATGAAGGCAGAGGATGCTGGTGGCTTTGGTGGAAATGATGAGGGTAGCAAATGTCATCAAATTCAGTTGTGTTCCGAAAAGCTGAAAGGATATGCTGATCAATTGGCTGTGGGGTGTGAGGGAATGAGCAGAACTAAGGAGGACTCTAGGTGTTTAGTATGGTCAAGAAAGAAAAGTGTAGCTCCTTGAGCTTGGGACAGATGACATTAGGTGGAGAGATATGCTGGGTAAAATCAAGAGCTTGAATTTGAACATTTGTTTGTTTATTTGTTTTTGAGAAGCCCCTTAGACACTCAGTGGAGGAGTTGAGGTATTAAATGGAATGCAGGTCTGGAGTTCGGAAAAGGTTTGGGCTGGAGGTAAAACTTTGAGAGATGTAGTCATCATTATGTCGCCGTACAGATGGTATTTAAAGTGATGTCAAAGACCTAAAACACCCCAAATCACACAGTAATGCAGAACTGCCCATCATTCATACAGGTTAGGAAAATAAAAAACAGATTTTGGAATCAGAAAACCTGGATTCAAACCCTGCCTCTGAGATTTACTTATTGGCTCCATCACCTTGATCCAAGTTACTCCAGCTGTTTTGAATCTCACTTTGTCCATCTCTATGTTGTGATCATAATTTAAACATTAATAATAATAACTATAAACACCTGACACTGTGACCAGCACTTGGTTGTTGTTCAGTTTCTCAGTTATGTCTGACTCTTTGCGACTCTATGGGCTGCCTGTCCTTCACTATCCCCCTGAGTTTGCTCAAGCTTATGTCCATTGAGTAGATGATGCCATCCAATCACCTCGTCCTTTGTCGCCCCCTTCTCCTGCCCTCAGTCTTTCCCAGCATCAGGGTCTTTTTCCAATGAGTTGGCTCTTTGAATCTGGTGACCAAAGAATCAGAACTTCAGCGTCAGCATCAGTTCTTCCAGCGAATATTCAGGGTTGATCCAGCACTTGGTAGGAACTTGATAACTTGTAGCTAGGACAGCTATTCTTGGTAGTACTAGCTACAATTCTAGGAGCAAGTGCTGCAAGATTAGCAAAGAAACAGTCTCATATTATGTAAGGAATTCCACAAACAAATTCTGTACAAATCTCTGGTCTCTTGAGGCTTGATTTTGCAAACAGAATGTTTATACAGCACCAGTTAGAAGCTGTTGAGTGATGGAAACATAATGTGGTCAGTCCTGACCACAATCTCACTTTGCAGATGAGTTCATTGAGGCCCAGACATGTTTAGTCACTGTTTTATAAGACTATATTTTATGTAAGTGGCAAGGCCAAAACTTCAGACTAAGTCTTTGATTATCAGCCTAGTATGCTTCGCATTTTCTATAGCACTGCAGTTTCTATCTATCTTTGCTGTTTCTATCTAACAGATTTCTAAATCCTCAGGTATAAATTATGTATTAGGGATACATAATTTATCTATCTGTATTTCTGTGTATCTCAAAGGTTGTTTTCAGTGGCTCCAACTTACTAATTCATTAAATAGGAAGTGAGCTTTTTAGTTCATCCTAAAATTATATGGTATCTATTAGAAATCAAAAACATGGTTTTCCGTACAAATATTATATAGGTCTGTGGGAAAGGAGGGTGAACAACTTACTATTTCTGTTTCTCCTGCTTTCAATGCTCAAAAGTTACCACGTGTTATCACATAGTTAGGAATTTGTTAATAACAAAATTAAACAACTCAAGAGTTAACAGTATATATGTGACATTTAGTTGACATTTCTGCTGCCTCTCAAATATGAATGAATAGGTAGAAAGAGGCCTATCTTACTTTGCTTAAATTCTCTATGTTAGAAATCTCTTAGATAAAACTATCTTCTGCCTCTAGCTCATATACATTTTAAGTAAAAAATGTCTCTGCAACTTCTCTGGATATTATGTTTTATTACAAAATCCTTGAACAGAACAGTGTCTTTCCCTTCCTTAAGAAAACAAA